AAAAAAAAAAAAAAAAAAAAAAAAGATATAATAACTGGTCCATATATTTACATATTTTTCATTTTGGAACGCGAATCAAGACTGACAAAAGGTTCCTTATTTGATTTGACTTACTTAGGCCAAAGTACCCAACATTCAGCATGGTGGCATCTTCCAGTTACAGGTAAAAAGTCAAAGTTTGGAAAGGTTGGTTCTGATCTGGTCATTGTTGGATATTTAAGTTACTACAAGCAATATATCATTATATATCTATGTGACTACATACAATGTATACCTTTTTCTACTCTTTTCGTAATGATTTAAAATGACTAACTACAGCTTAAGAGGGGACAGCTTCTGAAAGCGGATCCTTACATGGGGTCAAGAGAAGCAAACATCATTTTCCATATTGAATTACAATTTTCTGCATCTATCTTAGTTTTAGTTTGAATGTTAAGCTTTTGAGAACGATTAAAGCATTCAGCATTGTTATAGAATCCTTACATGCATTCTGTTTCATTAGTACCGTTCATGATTTTACCAAATAATTTGGTCTAAAGGCTTAACAATTTTTTGCTTATTGCTGGCTATTCAACCTCAATCTTAAGCTGTTTAATAATTAACATTACTATTATATAAATTTTATAGAAAAAAAAACTGCGCATAGCGAGCAAATACAATCTAAGGCTTTATAGAAAGTTGATCAAGTTAGCTATCATGAAACAAACCAAAATATTTATATAGTCTATAATTATTTAAAACTACTGTCATTAATAATAAAACAAACTGCATGACAACTTTTTCTTAATCTCTATGCCAATCCACAGATAATATGATATATGATTAGGCCATAATCAGTAAAAGAATATCAGAATATATAAAGTTAAGAATCATGATCTTAAACCATTTCTATCAAAGAAATATTATAAGACAATAATATTTTTCAAACAAGTCAATAAAAGTAAGAAGTGGTTTGCCAAATAATATCTTTGGAATTTAAACAAAAAAGACTACCAACAATAAAGTATGATCTAAATTCAAACTAAATAATAAGAATAAGAAAAGTAATTAATATGTATTCGTCACCATTTACCAAGAGAACATACTATCTAAAATACTAATGAAAAAATAAAAGATTAATAATTAAATTTTTTACAGACTTCTTACATTTAGAGATAAAATAAACATCAAGATTACAAATGAATATATTATGAAAAATATCTACTAATATTTTTGAAAGGTGAAAACACAAAAGCAATTATTAATTTTGTAACAATGTTTTTACAAATTTCTTACAAGTCTTCATATAAAACTGAAATATATTACATCTTACTATAAACTAATATTAAATAGATCCTCTATTTAAATGTAATTTTATAGATTCCATTATACTAAAAAATCATATAAACTTCACCACTACAAAGCATTGTTAATTAAGTTAGGAGAAGATGAAATCTAATATTCTATATTATAAATACTTTAATCATAATAAGTAAATATTAGTTAAGCTTACATTATATTTTTATGAACATATATTTAAAAAATATTAAAAATATAAAATTAAAATATTTTCAGTAGTGTATTGGAACTATATATACATAAAAGGTATATATGATATGAAATTCTTTTATAAAACATATATAAATGCAAATAAATATGTAGATGAGAGAAGAGAAAAGATCAAAAATAAGTTGGAAAATGATATTACATAATTTAAGTATTTTTTCCAAAATATTAATAATTTAAAATTATGATAAAATAGAATAATTTATTAACACAAATCCGCGCGTAGCGCGGAAAAAGACTCTAGTAAAATTAAAAGTGAAGTCAATCGGACCAGGAATGCTTATTCCCCATTTAGCTTCATCAATGGAGTAGATGACCTCAACATGACTTAACCGGGACAAGAGATTCCAGCATCATTATCACTCTCACCGAGAGAAACCAAGATCAAGAGCACATGCTTTTGAAGAAGATCTGAAGCAAGAAACATTTTGCTTATTATACTTTTAAACTGATGTCAAACAAGATGTATTTATACTACAACATATATAGATATACTCATATACACTGATTCATAGACTTGTATATATGTATGTGTGAGTCATATAAAGAGAAGTTCTGTGTCCTTGTTTTGAGAAGCAAAGCCGTATAGTTATATTCCCGCATGCTAAGTTTCATTCTCACAGGAAATGGGGTGTGGAAAAAAGGTATAAAGAGTAAAGCTTTTTAAAGTTGTGTTTGGCCTTTTGTAAATAATAATGTGATGCTTTTCATTTTACCCTACGTTTTTTCTACACAATGGCCTGCCCTTAACAACTATTCAGTTTACATTTTCTTGCAAGATTCATAGTCAATAGTTGATGCTTTTTTGATTTTACCCTAAGTTTTTCTACACAATGTAAGGCTTTACAACTATTCACCGAACTTTTTCTTGCAAGGTTGATAGTCAATATTTTATCTATAATTAGCTTCCTTATACTATTGACGATCGTTGATCTCCATACACATGACTTTACAAGGTAAATAAAATATGATCAAACTTTTTATATTGGGACTAGAGGCCGGATCTAAACAGCAGTTAAAGTGAACGACATGCAAGTTATGATCAATCCGACTGTAACATTTTTTTTTTTTTTTTTAAAGAATTTAATTTAAATAACCCCAACCTATAGAAGATAGGGAGTGGCCCAAATGGACCTTGGCTTAACAAACAAGTCTTCTACAATATCTAAAGCAACATCCACATCAGATTACCACTAAAAACTTTATTTCTTATAAATCTATGGATTAAATCGAATATTTATTCTACAACTAATAATTGTGTTATATTTTCATAATTGTAATGTCATAATAAACCAACGTTATAAAAAAAAATCAAATGTATACATGGAAGGTTGGACTGGCCATTTAGTATAGTGATTTGATTAACGCTTTTATCTACCATAAGATTTAAGTTTTAAAGCATCGAGAAAATGAACTAAACAGACTTACAAAAGTGCTTTAACATAATATAAATAGAACTGTCAAACGTTGATTTTCATAAATCGGTTTAGAGTAGTGCAATTAAACCGATCTGTGTGTTTCACTTTGACATAAAAGTTCTTGGAAAATTAGACCCTATAGCCACACAAAAACCCATCATTAACTAAGTAGCCAAAATCATACTCTCTCTCCCTTTCTTTCTTCCTATCTCTCTCTACTCTCTCTCCTAAAACATTAATTTTCTTTTTTTCCTAGCTATTTGGCAAATAAGCCCAAAGTTCTTCATGTACACTGTACAGAACAGTACAGAAACAGTGTGAAATAGATGGACCAATGAATCTGTTTTAATAGGCTACGTGGATCAAAGCCCAATAATATTAAATAAGGCCGAACCCTCGCTTGCTCATATAACTAATACGCAGCGTTTTAAATATAATTGTTATTAGACCCTTCGATTTTTTTTACAGTTTAGTTAACGAGAGAGAATAATGTTACAGTTTCCGACATTGATGAGTCAGTTTCCGACATCCACGAAGACGATTCCGGCGTCGCATCTGCTACCTATACAATGGCCTCAGCCTCAGAACGAAGAGATTCTTCTCGCCATGGAAGAAGCCGAGTACGAAGAAAAGGTTTAGTCTTTTCTTTTTCAATATCAACTCTATGATCCCGTGAAATTCCAGCTTAATTTAATTGACAATCGTGAATGATAACTTATGGGTTTTGAAATTAAGGTATTGAGAGATTATAAAGTATTAATCTTTGAGTTTGATTTTGAACTTTTGATGAATGTGGTTTTGTTGGTAACTAACGAAGCAAATGAGTTTCATCTACTAAGCATTAGGGTATTGTGATTGTTATTCAGTCTTTTTTTTATTGTAGCATATTAGTATTCATGGTGCTATGTTTTTGAGTGTATAAGTTGGAACTTTTTTTTTTGTGTGGATGACAATGTTAAGTTGTGTAGTTATGTTTTCAACCTAGGACTTATTGGATATAGACTTAACTATTAGCTCACAGGATCAGTGTATGATCTTTATATTGAAGTTGAAGATTTTTGGTTGTGGATTTTGTGAAAAGAATTTGAGTATACTAGTACATGGAAAACGTTTTTCGGTATTTGGAATCTGAAGAGTGAACTTTTAGATAAGAAATATGTTTTGAGACACTTATTACTTGAAGATTGACTTTTGTTTCCTTGTCATTTGAGGTTTTGGTGTTTCCCCTAATTGTATGTATAGTATACTAGATTTGTTTTTGTGGATGCTAGAGTGAGTTTTGAGTAAACTCTTGTTGTCTTGGTTTTTGGTGCAGTGCAACGAGATAAGAAAGATGAGTCCCAGCTTACCGGTGATAGGAAAACCAGTCGTTGACAACCATCAAGAAGAAGATGACAATGAAGCAGATGACGATGATGATGCAGACAATGCTGAGGAGTCTGATGGTGAAGAGTTCGAGCAAGAAACCGGTTAAATAACCCTCCACAACAAATAAAAAGAAGTTTAATGATGGCATTAGCTTTGATTTAGAGGATACATTCTTCTAATAATACAGTGCCAAAACAACTGGGGTTGTGACATATGTTTCTCAGAATTTTAGTCATGGGTTATTAGTTGTTTGGTTTCATGATGTTTATTTTGTTACCATGAAAATGTTAAATTTGAGATGCGTGTGGTACCTTGAAAGCGTCAAGTATTTTGGCCCAATTTCGTGTAATGTGTGATGACTTTTCAGCAAAAAACAAAAGTTGCAATTAGTTTAAGAAGAAAACATGAGATGTGTGTGGTACTGCTCCTACTCCAAAGGTCATCCTCTTATTATTATTGAACAACAACACCTAATTTATAGTATTTCTTTTGTGTGGTTCAAGCTTTCAATTATAAATGAAGACTGGGGCAAAGTTGCTCACCGAATTCTCCATTCTTTAGTCTTCAGTGCGTCTCATTCACAAGTTGCGGGAAACTTGGAAGTCAATTAAAATACGCCGTTACAATGTTTATTTCCTGTGCTCTAATTAATTAATAGACTTTAATACTATGCCTTTATATTAGATATTTTTAAATATCATTTAATATATTTATTTGATAACTTTTCTAAATTTACTAATTTTTCCTTTTAATTAACATATTCAGATAAAACAATTCATTTTAATGCATATAGAATTCTAAAAGGACATTAAAATAAATATTTAACAATTGTTTTTTCTCAATTGGGCTTAAAAAATTGAAACAAGATAATAACTACTTCTGTCATTATCAAAGAAGCCAAAAGGCCCAAAACAAAAATAAACCTCGTTAAGTAAAACAAAAAAATAAAACAATTCAGACACGTACTAAACTAACGAATCCACTAGCCTACACGCGTCAACATTCTCCGACAGAAGACACGATACACTCTCCCAGTTCCCGCCACGTATCACGTATATAAAAAAACAACGTCGTACGTGCGAACAAATAGTAACGGCAACTCTAACGGTTCGTCTGGTTCTCCGTCTAAAATAAATTTTCACCGCTGGTCACGTCTCACCACCACTAATAGAAAAGGAAAATATTTTAATTCTCTTCTCTTCTCAAACCAAAAATATCACACAAACTTAAATTTTAATTTCTTTATTTTTAATTCTTTGTCATCATCATCGTCCAAAGTTTCCTTTCAATGCCAGATGAGTCTAGAGCCTTTGTGAACACGACAAGCGTAGCAATACGATTCTCCGGATCTTTGATTGGATCTTCTCCCAAGATCCGTTGGAGGTAAACAATACCGAGACTGTAGGTATCTCCCGTAAGGAGAGTTCGGCGGAGAAGGCGTGACGGAGAACGGAGATTCCGGAGATCGATCACCACCGCCGCCGCTAGAACACGACGATGACGATTTTGAACTCCGCGGAGGGGATAGAACGGCGCGGATCTTGGCTCCAGAGACGTGATTGTACTCTTCGACGATGTTTGTTAGTTCCTCGTCTGATTTAACGGAGATTAGAGTTTCGAGATCGCCGTTAGGTAACTGACATCGGAGATCGACGGCGTATCCGCAGAATTCAATTAGTTTCTTCATTAGCTCTGAAAGAGAAACAAAAATTAAAATCAATAAAAAAAACTAAAATAAATAAAATAAAATCAAAATCATAAACAGAGATTGAAGTGATGGAGAACGAAGGAATGAGACGAACCTTCAAAAGAGATGGAAGGATCAACGGAGAGGACTCTGGTGTGACCTCCGACATAACGGAGCTTCCCGTCGGTGGAGCGAGGGAGAATTTTACCGCCGTAACTGCATAGGAACTTAAGATTGCTTCCACTTTTCTTCTCGTTAGAATCAACGGCTACCACCATTGTTAGGGTTTATTTGCTTAAGCTTTGTTTTTGAATATAATTTTTTCTTTTTTTTGCAGAGGGAGAGGGAAAGTGTTTGTTATTTGTTTCTTTGGTGTCTTAAACCGAGAAGAAAGGTTGCAGATGGTTGGCTTTTATAGAGAAGGAGTGACGTCACAGGTGGGACCCAACGCGTATGTGAAAAGGGAAATTCGTTGAACCTTCCATGGGTATTTTGGACATTTCGTTATTCCATAACGGAATATTCTTTAATTAAATGCCTTTGAAAAGAAGAAATCTAATGCTATTAAAAAAATTAATTATATTAAATGCTGATCTTTCAGCCATCAAAACCATCTTAGAAGCCCATATTTCCATATTTATGTACTAAAATTAAAATCATATGAAATTTGATTTATAAAAATATATTGGTTGATTTTTTTTGTTGTTGCATATACAGTGAAACCTCTATAAATTAATAATGTTGGGACTACACCAAAACTAAATTTTTTATTAATTTATAGAGATTATTAATTTATCTAGATATTAATTGAACCAAAAGTTCAATTTGGGACTATGAAATTATATTAATTTATAGAGATATTAATTTATAGATTATTAATTTAAAGAGGTTATACTGTAATAGGATCTTCCTTGGCTACTAGCTTTATTATGTTTCAATGGCAAGATATGCCAAGTCTGACCTTGTAATGACTCCATTTCATTAAGAAAAAATATTGGTCAAGTCAAATAAAATACTTATTCAACTGTTTGAAAAAAGCATATATGATATATTCCTAAAACATATACTATGGCAATTTAAAGATTCCAATAGTTAGTATGAAAATTTCAAACTGTATTTTACCAAAAAAAAAGAGAAAAATTTCAAACTGTATGGAATAATAATTGATTTCACATTTACTACTTGGCTTATTCTAATGAAACATTCACTTTCTTTCTTTAAATTTAAGAATTGACTAACATACATTAATTATTTAGTCTCGTAGTTGTAATTTTTTAATAAATTGTTTACATTCCCAAAAATTTACTGCTCACTCTTCACACTGTTGACCACTTGAATTCAGCTCCCTACCTAGGGGTGGGCACTTTATCCGATACCCGAACTCGTACCCGAACCCGACCCGAAATATCCGAACCGAAATCCGAACCGAAGTAGCAAAATATCCGAACGGGTATTGAGTTAGAAGAGTTTGGATATCCGAACCCGAACGGGTAATACCCGAACCCGAACGGGTATCCGAAGATAACCGAACATATGTATATATACCTATTATTCCTAGTTTATTTTGTCTCATTTTATTAAAACTATTTATATTAATGTTATATATAGTTTCATATCAGATAATATACATATAATTGTAAAAAAATTGATTTGTTACTCATTTAAAATGCATGTTAAGATTCTTATTTCATATTTTAAATAAAATTTGCATCCAAAATTCGAAAATAATAACCAAAATAATGATTTTTATTTTCAATAATTTATTTTCAAACTTATTAATCGTCTAACTTATTAAACATTTAAAAAACAGTTAAGTTAATATTTAAATTTTAAATACATGAAACTTAAGTAATTAAGAATTTAAATTTTTTCTTCCAAAATCTAAATATCCGAACCCGACCCGAAATAACCGAACCCGAACTAAAAATATCCGAACCCGACCCGATATGTAAAAATACCCGAACGGGTTCTAAACCCCAATACCGAAATACCCGAAAACCCGAAATACCCGACCCGAACCCGAACGGGTACCCGAACGCCCACCCCTAACCCTACCTCTAAAGAGGACACAAAACATTGCAGCCCATTAAGTGGTCACTCATGGCCCATCTCCAATTAACCCCAAAAAATAAATAAAAATTCGCGCTAAACAAAACAAAATAAACCACGGTGAAAACTAGGGTTTCTAATCTGGGAAATTTTACTGTCTAACAACGTATCGTATAAGTATCTTCACTTATTACCATTTGCTACCCTTACGTATCTCTCCACTCTCTCTTCCTCTCTCAAGCATCGAATTCGATTCAAAGTTTTACGCTAACAAACCTAACGATCTAAAAAAAGCTAACGATGAGCTCTCATGATCGTAGATTCGCCGATCCAAATTCGTATCGTCAACGCTCTCCGTAAGTGTTAAATAACCATTTCCAATTTCGTTTCATTTCGATCTGTAACCGTAAACCGTAACCGTAACCGTCAAAACGTAACCGTTTTTGTGTTTCTCAGCGCACCAGCTCGTTCCTCTCAGCCGATGGATCCTTCCGCCGCACCGTACAATCCACGCTACACCGGAGGCGGTGGTGGTGGATATAGACCGGCGGCTCCGGTAATGTCCGGTGACGGTTCCGGCTACGGTCATTATCCGTCTTTTCATCCGCCTAGTAACGGTTTCTCCGTTGGACGCGGCGGAGGAAGAGGCGGTTACGGTGGGTACGGAGGTGTGAGGGGTGGGTACGGTGGTGCTAGGGGTGGATACGGTGGGGGATCGGGGAATAGAGAGCTGGATAGTGTTTCGCTTCCGAAGCAGAGTTTTGGGAATCTTGTTCGTTTTGAGAAGAATTTCTACGTGGAGAGTGCTGTTGTGATGGCGATGACGGAGGAGGATGTTGCTGTGTATAGGAGTGAGAAGGATATTTCGGTTGAAGGGCGTGATGTTCCTAAGCCTATTAAGATGTTCCAAGATGCTAACTTTCCAGGTTATTGTTTGTGAATGTGATTTTAGATGTTATCTCTTGGTGAAAGTATGATGCTTTGTTTGTTCTTGGCTTAGTTGTTTGATTCTGTAGACTTATTTCTATTGTTATCTGTTTGGTAGATAATATTCTGGCCAAATTGCTAAAGTGTTTTTGTTTATTATTGGGAATATCATTTAGATGTCATCTGTTCTGTTTAATTTGATTTTCTGTAGTTTGAGTGTAAGTATGCTGCTTTTGTTCGTTAAACACTCTCTAGTGATGCTTAGTTTGTTCTTGGTTTAGAGTTTTTTTTTGTAGACTTATCTCTTTTATTATCTGTTTGATAGATAAAATTCTCGACGCACTTGCCTTTAGTGAGTGCAAGTGTGCTGCTTTGTTCACTTGACACCCTCTTGTTATGCTTTTTGATATATTTTGTTCTTGGTTTAGTGGTTTGATTTTTTTTTTGACTTATCTCTTTTATTATCTGTTTGATAGATACTATTCTCGAAGCAATTTCCCTCTAGTTAGTGAAAGTATATGCTGCTTTGTTCACCTAACGACCTCTAGTTATGACAATTTTGTTCTTGGTTTAGTGGTTTAATTTTGTGGACTTATCTCTTTGATTATCTGTTTGATAGATAATATTCTCGACGCAATTGCTAAATTGGGATTTACTGAGCCGACACCAATCCAAGCTCAGGGATGGCCAATGGCTTTGAAGGGCAGGGATTTGATTGGTATTGCTGAGACTGGATCTGGTAAGACTTTGGCTTACTTGTTACCAGCGTTGGTCCACGTTAGTGCACAACCTCGGTTAGGTGAGTATCTTTACAACAATGTATTGATGACTGTTGTGAAGATGTATGCTTATGCCTATTGTTGATGTTTATTAGGTCATGATGATGGACCCATTGTTTTAATATTGGCGCCCACCAGAGAGTTAGCAGTTCAGATTCAAGAGGAATCAAGGAAGTTCGGGCTGCGATCTGGTGTTAGAAGCACTTGTATCTATGGTGGTGCTCCTAAAGGACGTCAGATTCACGATCTTAGAAGAGGTTCATTCTTCTCATTGCAATATTGTAGCTTTCCATATCTGGTTCTTTGATGGAACATAAAATTTTACGGAATAACCATTGTCTTTTCAGGTGTTGAGATTGTAATTGCTACACCTGGTCGTTTGATCGATATGTTGGAATGCCAGCACACTAACTTGAAGAGGGTGACTTACCTTGTGTTGGATGAGGCTGACAGAATGTTAGACATGGGATTTGAACCCCAAATTAGAAAGATTGTATCTCAGGTATGCTTTTACTTCCTCCAAAGCTATCGCGTATAGCTTTTATGCCTGAGCATTTGTGTTCTACTACTCAAAACATCCTGGTTTCAATCGACATTGTCATTTTTTCTTTGGCAGATCCGACCTGATAGACAGACGCTGCTTTGGAGTGCAACATGGCCACGAGAAGTTGAAACTCTCGCTAGGCAGTTTCTAAGAGATCCATACAAGGTCTACCTCATATATCCGCTTACCTTATTCTGATTGAGTTTACTGTCATAGGTTAAGTAGGGCCTGTTTCTGTTTGTGCACTGAAAATAATTGTATGACACAGGCCATTATTGGATCAGCGGATCTAAAAGCTAACCAATCTATTAACCAAGTAATCGAGATTGTACAGACGCCAGAGAAATACACCAGGTTCTTAATTGTTCTGTAACATGGTGAAGTCGCTATTTTTGTATCTTGCCTTTATTTTCTGATATGATGTTTATTTTCTCCTTTTGTTAGGCTCCTTACACTGCTTAAGCAGTTAATGGATGGAAGCAAAATCTTAATATTTGTGGAGACAAAGAGAGGTTGTGATCAAGTGACTAGACAACTGAGAATGGATGGATGGCCAGCTCTTGCCATACACGGTGACAAAAACCAAACTGAAAGAGATCGTGTCTTGTCAGAATTTAAGAGCGGAAGAAGCCCGATAATGACTGCCACTGATGTAGCAGCAAGAGGACTTGGTAATGATTAACTGTAATACAATATGAGAGGATTAGATTAGTCATTTCGTTTTCTCGAGCATGGAGCTGATTGGTTTATGAGCAGCCTGGGCGACTCACCCGCATGCATTAATAGTGTTTTAGCCCCGTCACACTCCTTATCCCTGCAAGTTAAGGTGGGCACATTTACTTGGAAAAATGTGTTGCTCTTAGTTTCTTGATCTTTTCAGATCTGCAGTTGTAGGGATAAGGAGGGTCTGTTCCTTCCCTCTAGGCTTTAGAACACCAAAAGTCACACACACGTCAATTTTTCTGATTATCTTTCCTGCATTTTTGATCATTTAGGACTATGCTTGACTAATCTTGAACCTTTTGTTTTTGGTCGGAAACTTTAGTTCTCAACTGTGCTTTTCTTGTTTTGTTTGTTTGCAGATGTGAAGGACATAAAATGTGTGGTTAACTATGATTTCCCAACTTCACTGGAGGATTACATCCACAGGATTGGTCGAACTGGGCGTGCAGGAGCTAAAGGAATGGCCATGACATTCTTTACACATGACAATGCTAAGTTTGCAAGAGAGCTTATAAAGATCCTTCAAGAAGCTGGTCAAATTGTACCACCCACTCTCTCTGCCCTAGTCCGATCTTCCGGTGACAAACTCAATCCTAGTCTCATTTTGTGTTCTTTAAAACCATTTCTTGCCTTTTAGTTGTGATGATGATCTGATTTCATTTTGTTGACTTGTTCAGGTTCTGGTGGTGGTGGTGGTGGGGGACGTAGTTTCCGGTCAAGAGGAGGAGGAGGAGGAGGAGGAGGAGGAGGAGGACGTGGTGGTGGGTTTGGAGATAAACGGCCAAGATCGACCTCAAACTTTGTACCTCATGGTGGCAAAAGGACTTGGTAGAAAGAGAGATACTTGGTTCTCTGGTTATGTTGAAGCTCTCTCCGATTGTAGAGAACGAATGTTTTATTTAATTAGTTGATTTATTTTAATAAATCAAACATGATTACTTTTTCTTAGCTAGTTGGATACATAAATTATTACTCCATCCGTTTTATTATATAAGATATTCTAGTATTTTATTTATAAGTTACTTCTTCCTGAAAATTGTTATTTTGACTTTTGCACATAGATTAAAAAATAATTAAAATACATTTTATGTTTTTATTGAATTCATTTATTTAACTAATATTATTTGTGATTTATAAAATTATTCATAAAATTAATAAATTTACATCAATATTAACCTGAAATATGTATACATTTTATTGAAATACTTTTGTGTAACAAAAATAATTTTTAAAATGATACTTTTTTTATAAAATAGAGGAAGTATTATATAAAACTGATTTGATTTACATTTTCGTCAACTTTTGTAAATTTTTAAATCATTCAAAAAATTTAATTGCATGAACATAAATTAATTATATGATTTTGTGATCTAACAATGTGTATTTGAAATGAAACTGTAATTTGAGATAAAATATAGATTTAACTTCAGAAAACAATCCGGTTCAATTAAAAAGATGACCGGTACTAGCTTAAATATATATACACATAGCTGAATCCTTACCACACTATGATTGTTGTTGTCTTAAAGCAAAGAAAGATCGAACAATGGAGACAGACGAGAGCGGCGTATCTCTCCCCTCAGGCCCCGACGGACGCAAACGCCGAGTCAGCTACTTCTACGAGCCAACCATCGGCGACTACTACTACGGCCAAGGCCACCCCATGAAGCCCCACCGGATCCGCATGGCCCACAGCCTTATCGTCCACTACAACCTCCACCGTCGCCTCGAGATCAGCCGCCCTAACCTCGCCGACGCCTCCGACATCGGCCAGTTCCACTCCCCGGACTACGTCGACTTCCTCCGCTCCGTCTCGCCGGAGTCCATGGGCGATCCTTCTTCCGCGAGGAATCTGAGGCGATTCAACGTCGGGGAGGATTGTCCTGTCTTCGACGGGCTGTTTGATTTTTGTCGCGCTTCCGCGGGGGGTTCGATTGGTGCGGCGGTTAAGTTGAACCGGCAGGACGCGGATATTGCGATTAATTGGGGCGGGGGGCTTCACCATGCGAAGAAAACGGAGGCTTCGGGGTTTTGTTATGTGAACGACATCGTTTTGGGGATTCTTGAGTTGCTTAAGATGTTTAAGGTAAACATGCTTGCTTCCTGCTTATTTGTGAGAAATTGAAAAGGTTTAAGGTTATTGTGTTGAGTGTTTTTTTTGAGATTGATGTTTGATTGATTCATGTTGCAGTCATGAATATGTTTTGCATAACGCAACTTGTTTTGTTTACACCAACATCTGATTCTTCAAGTTTTGTTATTTATGTTTTGTTAGATTTGGATTCGGTTGCTTTGTTGTGGTATCCTGATAGCACATTGTTCGAAAGGTTAAGATGATGGTTCCGTTGCTTGTATTCCTAATATGTTTTTCATCAAATTTCGTTTGCAGCGAGTTCTCTACATTGGTATTGATGTGCATCTGTAGAATCTTGCATTATCATTTAGGTCAAGTGCATTTAGATGTTTCTGAGAACATACAGATGCAACTTACATGATCCACTTCAGTGTTTCTATCATCTGATTACTCAAGTTTCTTACTTCATGTTTCATTAGATTGGATTCGGGTTGCGGTTGTTTTGTCATTCTATACTGATAGCGCATTGTTTAAAATGTTAAGATGATGTTTCCATTGCTTGCATTCCTAGTATGCTTTCATTATATTTCGTTTGCAGCGAGTTGTCTACATTATGTGCACTTTTAGAATCTTGCTTTAGAAATAGAATGTAGGCCAAGTGCATCAGATGTTTCTGAGAACATACAGATGCAACTTACATGATCCACTTCAGTGTTTCTATCATCTGATTACTCAAGTTTCTTAATTTATGTTTCATGAGATTTGGATTCGGTTGGTTTGTTACTGTATCCTGATACCACACTGTTCGAAAGGTTAACATGATGCTTTCATCATATTTCGTTTGCTGCGAGTTCTCTACATTATGTGCACCTTTAGAATCTTGCATTATCATGTAGGTCAACTGCATCAGCTGCAACTTGCATGATCCCTTTGATTGTTTCAATGGCCAAAGAATACTGGCTTGTTTGAGAGTTGTGCAGACCTTAGATTGTTTTTCACACCGCAACTTGTTTCCTTTCCACCATTTTATTCTTCAAGTTTCGTACTTGTGTTTCGTTAGATTTTGATTCGGTTGCTTTGTTACTCTATCTTGATAGCACATTGTTCGAAAGGTTAAGATGAGGTTTCCATTGCTTGCATTCCTAATATGCTTTCATCGAATTTCGTTTGCAGCGAGTTGTCTACATTGATATCGATGTACACCATGGAGATGGAGTAGAAGAAGCGTTTTACACCACCGATAGAGTCATGACTGTTTCGTTTCACAAATTTGGGGACTTTTTCCCAGGAACTGGTCACATCAGAGACATTGGCGCCGAGAAAGGGAAATACTACGCTCTAAATGTTCCATTAAACGATGGTATGGACGATGAAAGTTTCCGCAGCATGTTTAGACCTCTTATCCAGAAGGTTATGGAGGTGTACCAGCCAGAGGCAGTTGTTCTTCAGTGTGGAGCTGACTCCTTAAGCGGTGATCGTTTGGGTTGTTTCAACTTATCAGTCAAGGGTCATGCTGATTGCCTCCGGTTCTTGAGATCCTACAACGTTCCTCTCATGGTCTTGGGTGGTGGAGGGTATACTATTCGGAATGTTGCTCGTTGCTGGTGTTATGAGGTCTTTTCATCTCTTTTTGCACTTCTTCTGTGTTTGTTGGTAAGGTTTTTGTTCTTGAAAGGTTGGTTTCTATTGACTCGTTGCAGACTGCAGTTGCGGTTGGAGTAGAGCCTGACAATAAGCTCCCGTACAATGAGTACTTTGAGTATTTTGGTCCAGACTATACCCTTCATGTCGAGCCAGGCCCCATGGAGAATTTGAACACACCAAAAGATATGGAGAAGATAAGGTAACATCTCCTGCAAGGGAACTCAAAGTAATTTATGATTTATCTTTGTGCCGGTGCCAGTGGTTCACGAGAGCTTTACATATACTCATAGCTTTTGGCTTGTCAATGACATTTTGAACTTAGAGAAGTTAAACTTGTTGAAATTTTCAGGAACACATTGTTAGAACAACTTTCAGGACTAATACACGCACCTAGCGTGCCGTTTCAGCACACACCTCCAGTGAATCGAGTTTTGGATGAGGTAAAAAAATTTCAATCATCCATCGATGTAAATGTCTTTGCTGTTTTAGTATTATCATCATGTTCTGTACAGACAGACTCATTAGATGTTTTGTTTGTCTCTTAAATCTTTTAGCCGGAAGAAGACATGGAGGAAAGACCAAAGCCTCGGATTTGGAGTGGAACTGCGACTTATGATTCAGACAGTGACGATGATGAGAAACCTCTTGGTGGTTTCTCAGGTATTGGTGACCCACCTATGGACAGGTAATAATAAAAAAAAAAAATTTCCTCCTACTCTAATCTTACCAAACCTTTGATGCCTAGAGAACTTAAATTTTTAAAACTCTTGAATCCTCAGGGACTCTACTGGTGAAGATGATATGGAAGATGATGATACACCAGAGCCTGAAGTGCATCCTTAAAAACTATCTTAGTGTCCTTTACATATTCTATAACAGTGATATAATTAATACTCTTTTTTTTTTTTTAATTCTCGGACAAAGCCATTACTGTTTTGTCCGAAAGTTTGAAACTGTCTTGTCATAAAAGAAAAACTAGATAATTGCACATTGTCGGAGAGCAAGCCAATGGCCAAGGAGCTTGTCTCTCTCCACTTTCTCCCACCACAATTTCACATCCCTCTTCCCCTCCGCCCTAAACAACCGCAAAACCCAATCTTCCCCCGCCGCCGCAACAGAACATCCAACATCGACGCCCCCGTCCCATCCAACGAAGTCAAAACCCTCGCCAAGTTCAAATCCCGACACAACAACATACGAGTCATTGAAGTCTCCCGGAGAAGCGACCACCCACTCGCCGGCTCCCGCCTCCTCCTCCTCGACACTCCCGGTAACATCCACAGCATCTCCTTCCTCCTCAAAACCTTAACCGATAGCTACTTCGACGTTTTCGCTACTCTCCCTCCCATTATCCCACCAGGACCCGTCGGCGTTCTCGGGTTCGGAGCCGGGTCAACCGCCCGGTTGATCCTCGAGCTTTACCCACCCGAATACACTATCCACGGGTGGGAAATCGACCCTTGTGTAATCGACGTAGGTAGAGAGTTCTTTAGCCTCTCTAAGCTCGAGAGAGACCATAAAGATAGGATTTTTATCAACATAGGTGACGCCTTGGACGCTAGTGTTAAAACCGGGTTTTCGGGTATTTTAGTGGATTTGTTTAGTGAAGGGAGTGTGATTAAAGAGCTTCAAGATCCAAATGTGTGGAGGGGGTTGAGAAGTAAGTTGAGGAAGAGAGGGAGGATCATGGTGAATGTTGGAGGAAGGTGTGTGGAAGCTGAGGATTCAGAGAGAGATGGAGATTTGGTTATGGTGGAAACTTTGAAAGCGATGAGTCAAGTGTTTGGTGATAAGCTCTTTGTGCTAACGCTCGGGAATGGTGATGATAGCTCTGTGGCTTTAACCGGTGATTTACCGGATCTTGATGCCTGGAAGAAGAGTCTCCCGGTTCGTGAGTTGCGAAGCTTTGTTGATATGTGGAAGCCTTTTACAGAGTTCAAAGTTTGAGCTAATCAGGTTACCAGGTTAAGAACTTGTGTAGCTGATACACAAAACTTGTTCCTAGAGAGAGTTCTGAGTTTATAATGTACAAACAAACTATGGGCTCTGTTGTGAGTTCAATGCTTTCGTCTACTATTTTTTCATGGCTTCAATCTTGAGGGTTACAAGTCACTGTGTATGATCAAAATTATTGGCTATCTTCTTTTAGTACTTTCACTACGCGGATGTTTTGCTAAAAGCCACTGAAGCTTCATCACAAGTTAAAAGCACTACAGTTGCATTAGACCGCTCTATAAAGCCTGATTGGAGTTTAAGAGTTTTAAAAGGGTAACGAATGTTGTAGAAGTAAAGTATTACATTAGAGAAAAAATCTTGATAATTAATCAATTTACATCTAGGCCTGTTCAATCTGGTGTTCGGTTTTGGTTTTCAGTTATTCGGTTTATAAAAATTAGCTACCATATTGGAACCATATTTAATTTGGTTTGGTTCGGTATTTATACTACCGATTTTCGGTTTATTCGGTTTTATACCAAATAACATTATTATTTAATTTAGTTTCATATTATATGAATTTTTAAAAAAATATATTGTCAAAACTATCATTTATTAAAATAATCTTAGTTGTTCATAAATATAAAAATGTGAAACTAACAACAAACAAAACGACCAACAATTCAGTTTTGTACAACTTTTCTTATTTTCTCTTTGTTCTTCCAAATAAATTACATGGTACAATCTAATTTCACAATTTCTTACAACATACAAAATCAAATCAAATTTAGATGATAATTGAAGAAATAAAATAAAATTATTAAGATATATCTTCACAAGGAATAAAAAAGTAAGAAAAAAACTATTTAAAGAAAATAAACGGTTATATAATGTATATATTTATATATTATTTCTTTGATCGGTTATGTTTGGTTTATTCGGTTTAATCGGTTATAAAGCTAACTATATCCAAATCCAACGGTTTTTATAAAATTATATCCATTCGGTTTATATGGTATATACCAAATCCAAACCATATTCTCTATTTCGGTTTGGTACGGTTCAATATTACCATATTGAACGGATGTAATACATCTGTAAGATATAGAATATAACCCTACGAAAATATTGAATTTTTATACTATGTTAGTGAGTGATGCAAATATGCATTAAAACAAAAATACAAAATTTTCTAATTTTCTTAAAATATGTGGGTTAACCCTATGAAAAATTGAACATTCTGATAAATGATTTTTCATAATTTGTAGACACTTTAGTGTTGTTTAAAAATACCTAACCACACTCCCAATGTGTATTAATGTTGTCTAAAAATATTTTCATGGTACATGGTCATTATTTCTAACTTTCCAACGAGTAATTTATCTTAACTTAATCTACAATTTATATAGTGTACTAACCCCGATAAAATCTCTATTTTCTAGAGAAATAAGAACACTTAAGGTCTCAAACATTTTTAATCTTTGTAATATGCCAGTGATTGATGCAAATATGCATGAAAACAAAAATACTAAATTTTCTAATTTTTCTTGAAATATGTGGGTTAACCCTTATGAGAAAAATTGAATTTTCCGATAAATGGTTTTTTAGACACTTAAGTGTTTTATAAATATTACTAACCACACTCTCAATATATTTTCATGGTATATGGTCATCATTTTTAACTTTCCACCGAGTAATTTATTTTAACTTCATATACGATCTAATTAGTGTACTAACCCCTATAAATCTCTATTTTTAGAGAAATAAGAACACATAAGATCTAAAACCTTTTTAATCTTCATAATATGTCAGTGATTGATTCAAATATGCATTAAAACAAAAATACCAAATTTTCTATTTTTTCTTGAAATATGTGAGTTAACCCCTATGAGAAATATTGAATTTTCCGAAAAATGGTTTTTGATAATTTTTAGACACTTAAGTGTTTTATAAATATTAATAACCATACTCTCAATGTATTTTCATGGTATATGGTTATAATTTCTAACTTTCCACCGAGTAATTTATTTTAACTTCATATAAAATCTAATTAGTGTACTAACCCCTATAAAATCTCTATTTTCTATGGAAATAAGAACACATAAGGTCTCAAACCTTTTTAATCTTAGTACTATGTCAGTGACTGATGCAAAATATGCATTAAAACAAAAGTACCAAATTTTCTAATTTTTCTTGAAATATGTAGGTTAACCCCTATGAAAAAATTTAAATATTCCGATAAATGATTTTTGATAATTTGTAGACACTTTAGTGTTGTTTAAAAATACCTAACCACAGTCCCAATGTATATTAATGTAGGCTAAAAATATTTTCATGGTACATGGTCATCATTTCTAACTTGCCACCGAGTAATTTATTTAAACTTCATATACGATCTAATTAGTGTACTAACCCCTATAAATTTCTATTTTCTAGAGAATTAAGAACACATAAGGTCTCAAACCTTTTTAATCCT